GTGAGCACATGCAGAGTGAACAAATGTGAGGATGAATGGGTGAATGGTATGAATTAGTGAGAGCACAGAAGGATTAGTAGATGCATGAATGGGTGGGTGGGTGGTTGTGGGGAGCCTGTCTGCTCTGGAGTCACACACTGCTGTCAAACTCTGTCCAAGTCATGTGATCTCCGTGATGTCATCGTCTGGCTCAAACAAACGCCACCGACTGAAAATGACCGTTAGTGTCTCTTCACGCACGTGGATGCAGACATCAGTACCGGCACAGGGTAATCCTGGCGAGAGGAGCTAGCTGATGGGTGAGTGGATGACGGGATTATGGTGGATGGGTGACCTGGTAGAAAAAGAATCAATAAGTGGGTGAATGAATGAAGGGTGCTGCTGTGGGATTAACCCACACCCTGCTGCTTTATTGTTTTTAATTTTCTGGATGATTTCATGTTTTCTGGGTTAGGGTGCTGCACGGGCGATCAAATACGGTCTCTCGCCCAGAATTTCACACAAGATCAGCTGTTACTCAAAAAGGAACGGAGCTTCTGTCGTTTGGGTCAAACCTTTAATGGATGACCGAAGTGAAGTGAAGCCAAAGTTAGAGATGCCAGAAAACTCCTCCGGTGATCGGAGTCGGACAGTAAATACCCCGCGTGCTGCCCAGGTCTGTGAAAGTCAGTCAGCAACAGCAGCAGAATGAGTGAATGAGTGAATGAGTGAATGAGTGAATGAACTCGCCACCTCTTAACACAAAGCCGTGCTAACAATAACCGATCATCCATGTGGAGTCCAGAATGGGAGTTTTCCAGCGACAGAATGAACACACAAAAGTACTTTGCTGATTAAAGTTCTCTGAGGTGGACTAAACTGATGAAGCAGCTCGGAGCCAGACAGGAAGGATCAGCTCTCAGAACCACAACTGGTGCATCTCTCGCCAAAACACCCCATAATGTATTCTTCTGGACCCAACGTCCGAGGTGCAAGCCCCGCCCCCTCACCTACACACTATCAGAGTTGGGAAAGTTCATTTTAAAAATGAACTAGTTCAAAGTTCAGCTCTTACATTTTAAAACAAAGTAGTTCTCTTTTTAGTGCATCATTAAAATACTTTGAGCTAAGTTTACTGTTCCAACAACGAACTAGTTCATAGTTCTCTCTCTCTCTCTCTCTCTCTCTCTCTCTCTCTCTCTCTCTCTCTCTCTCTCTCTCTCGCTCTCTCTCTCTCTCTTTATATATATATATATATATATATATATATATATATATAAAATATGTGTATATATATACATATATATGTACATACACACACACACACACATATATATACATATATACATGGACGTAATTTTGGGGGGGACATTAACATATGCATGTATATATATATGTGTATATATATATATATATATATATATATATATATATATATATATATATATATATATATATATATATATATATATATATATATATATATATACAGTAAATACCCCGCATGCTGCCCAGATCTGTGAAAGTCACTCAGCAACAGCAGCATACATACATATATATATGTATGTATATACATATATATATATGTATGTATATATATATATACTTCCTGATACGTGGACATCTCTCCTCTGATTGGCTAACAGCAACACAACTCTACCACTGACTCTGTTGGCTCTGCAATGTTGATGTTTTACCTCCACCAATAACATGAGCCTGGAGGAGTTCTGCTGCGTGGTGAAGTTGTTAATGCTAACGGTTAGCTTCTACTAGCCGAGACGTGCTCTGCCACAGTGTGAATTTCTTTGACTACATATTTTCGTATTTAATTTCCTGGTGAATTAATTGACGAAACAAAGACGCACACACTAATAATGACTAAATTATGACAAATATTACTGATATTTTTGTTGACAAATTAGAGACGACAACAAAAACTGACAAAAGCAAAAATCCAATCATAAAATGGAAAAGATGGACGACCGGGAATAAGAACCAATCAGCAAACAGAGCCCAGTTTGAACACGCTACTGCTAACCAGACATCGTGCTGATGTTTATGCCGGTGGTGTAGCCGAGTAGTTATCCCTGCGTCGGGCGCCGGCGTTAAGTCGATTTGTGTTCCCCTCTCACAAAAAATAACCCTCACCCTCACCCTCACCCTCACCCTCACCCTGACCCTGACCCTGACTCTTCCTCCAACCATAACCACTCAGTCACCAAAACTGTATGTTTGGCACAATTATAATGGATGAAATTACTCTGTCGGACGATTTTTGTGTTTGTTGGGGTTAGGGTTAGGGTAAAGGCTAGGGTAAGGGGGGGGGGGGGGGGGTAGGGTAAAGGCTAGGGTAAGGGGGGGGGGGGTAGGGTAAAGGCTAGGGTAAGGGGGGGGGGGTAGGGTAAAGGCTAGGGTAAGGGGCGGGGCATGTATTTTTTGGAGTAGATGGTTCCAACTTGTGGCTGGGTGGAGGTGAAACAGATCTCGAGGGAGGAACAAAAATCGACATAACACCAACACGAAGGGGATTTCTACCGGGGATACCTACGCTGCTACAGCACCGGTTACAGTTGTGTCTAGAGGGAGAAAACGTCCGCGGCTGGGAGGAGAACCACCTGAAAAGTCTTTGCTTGGGGAGTTCACATCCGCGCTTCCTGGTTATGAACGTGTTATGATGCTGCTAGCGGGGCTGCTGGAGCTCAGCCAACTGAATGAAGCAGCATCACGCGCACCTTTAACCGTTTTTATCTCCGTGGCACTGCTACAGCCGGTACGATCAGCGTTCAGTATTCTAGTGGTGCTGTCCCTCCGTCGTCAATCAGTCTATTAATAACTCTAATAAATACACCTGACACAATTCTTACCTTTAGTTCACCTTTAGAGTCACGTCTGAATGTGTCGCTGGTATGATGTCATTACTGAACATTATTTATTTATATTTGTTTTATTTAGGTATTTCCTGATTATTATTGTTATGGAAACAATTATAAATATAAAGTTTTATTGATCCAAAGTCTGAAATGGGAAGTTTTCATATTTCTTCACAGTTTCAAGCCGCTGTAGTAAACACTTCCTGTACACACGTGGAAAATGATGCATCAGAAGAATAAAATGTACCTTTTAGTCGACGAAAGTAAGACTGAAACTAAAACAAATTCGACGACTAAAATTTAGAAGAATTTCAGTCAAAAGACTAAATTCATAATTCTTGTCAATATTACCCCTGCTCTGCCGTTTCCTGGACTAAACCAACAACAGCTTCCCCGTCGTGAGTCCAGATGGGTGAGTCCATGAATGTTAGTGACGGTGTGACGTAGACCTGTCAGGATTTTCTATCCTAGAGTTTCACCGTCAGAAGCTGCTGCAGAAGGTAGGTGTAGGAGACTATTTTCTATCAGAACTTGTTTTTAAATCTTGTTTTTTTATCTCAGCTCACATGAAACGGTTATTATTTAGAAACCATCTCATTGCATTCCACTATGTTCGTGTTTCTAATGGCCCCTTCTGGCCTTTGAATCCCTCACTTCTATCTTCTGAATCATTTAAGCATAAAAAGTCTCAAAAACACCAAAGGAACACAATTTGTTTTTGTGTTTCATGAAAAATAAAAAAGAAAGCAGTTTGACGAGCAGAAACTGGAATTTTAGCTCCAACAAGGTGATTCCCAGCAGGCTGCATGATGACAACGGTTGTTCTCATTTCCATCTTTGGTCAGGTATTTGGACTGAAATGGGTTAAAAGACCTTCGACAGGTCTTGAGAACAGCTGATCAGAACCACGTTAAAGCATCCTAACAGTGCTGTACCTCACTTTTATCTAAATCAGGGGTGTCAAACTCATTTTAGCTCAGGGGCCACATTGAGGGAGATCTAGTCCCAAGTGGGCCGGACCGGTAAATTAAAAACAACTTCAGATTGTTTCCTTTGTTTTAATAAAATCAATATAAAACAAGGCTGGAGCCTGAGGACAGTGTATCCAAAATAGTACAAGTACAACACCTGAAGTGTACTTGAAAATTTGAAAAAAATAAATAAATAAAAAATCAATAAACTAAAAAAAACATTCCTTAGTGATTCAAAGAGCTTACAAATCACATGGCTAGATCAGTTTCATGCAGCATTTAAAGTATATTTGACTCATTTTACTTTACATCTTTTAGCTTTCACCAGAACATCAACATCAGAAGTCACATCCTGAGTGGCGGCCAACTTCAGGAAGTGATTCAAGTTCTTGTGTGAGCCTTGAGCGCAGCTTTGTTTTATTTATACTCATTACAGAGAAAACTTGCTCACAAAGATACGTTTATTTTCACTCTACATTGTAAAGTATGAAAATAAAGTTTACACAACCATCTCGCGGGCCGGATTTAACCCGCTTGCAGGCCGGATCCGGCCCGCGGGCCACATGTTTGACACCCCTGATCTAAAGTAAAGTAAATAAGAGAAAAAGTGGAGAATGACCGCTCAGTATTTCACTTCTAACGGACATTAATCAGCTGATTGACTCATTTGAGCAACATTACACAAACGGATGCTCGGTGGTGACTCACTGGGGTCGAGTTTGGGCTCATCTGATGTACATGTGCACACCGAGATGTTCTAGCAGAGGTGTGGTACCACGCTACGCCCACTCCTTCAACTAGTTTGTCACCTAGCAACACAACAGCAGCGAGGAGCTGGCCGGGAAGTCGGAAACGGAGGCTGACTGAGAACCGAGAGATGAAGAAGACACAGAGAGTGAATGAAAGGAGCGAGTGTGTTAAAGTGTTGGCAAGCTAGACGAGGTGTGTGTGTGTGTGTGTGTGTGTGTGTGTGGAGGTTGTGGGTGGGGGGTGATGAGTTACAGTAAGCGTGTGTTTGTGTAGTCAGGAATCAGTGCTCCAGGTCTGAACACCTCCACCACCACTATCACACACGCACACACACACACACACACACACACACGCACGCACACGCACACACACACACACACACACACACACACACACACACACACACGCACGCATGCACACACACACACGC